AGAGTGAGGCTCTCGGCAAACAGGCAGCAATGGCGGCGAAAGTGCCGTGCTGACTGATGGACTTATCGATGATCGACAGCAGACAGACAGACAGACATCTCTTGACTCTGGTGGTAGTGGTGGGTTGAGAGACTGAGTGTCTGCATGTGATGTCAAGACGTACAGCTCTCACTCATTAATGAAATCTCTGATATGTTGTCCGTCCAGACGAGAGGAAAGATTGGATGGGCTGAAGTGTATTATTCACATGTGTCCCTCCCCTCCCCTCCCCTCCCCTCCCCCTGCACGAACCATCCTTCAGAGTCAGGCCACGCCGCTGCACAGTCAATCAGTTCACTCGACCCTCTCCCTCCCTCCCTCCCTCCCTCCCTCCAAATGGCATCACCCTAGCTACTTACATGCTCCCACACCTGCACTATCATCGACCCACTCCCTCATAGTGGAACCGTATCACTATCTCTCTACACCGGCGCGGTCTGCTGCTCCTCCTGCCCCTCGTCGGCCTCTGTTGCCGCGGTGGTCTCGATGGTCGTCGATCTGCTGACACGGGCTCGCCCACGCGTGAGCCATTGGCGCGGCTCGGTCGTCACCGCACGCCTGACCGACACACAGCACAGCACAGCACAGCATAGTCCAGCCAGACGCCATCGATGGTTGCATCTTGTCATGTATGCGCACATCTTGAGTATCTTGCCGAAGAATGCAAAACACTGGTCTGACCTACCAGGGGCGCATCTTGCTCTCCTGGCCTCCGCCCGCCTCCTCCCCCTCGATGACGACCTCCCTGGCCTGCGGCGCGGGTGCCTGGCTGTTGGTTGTTGCTGGTGTGCTGGGAGGGCTCCTGGGGCGTGTGCTGAGGGGTCGTGGGGGTGGTGTCGCCGCCGCTGCTGGAGGGGTGGGCCTCGATGAAGGCGTCGATGGCGACGTTGACAGCCATGCCTCCCACCTTGAGCTCCGCCTGCAACAACGTCTTCTCGGCCATCTTCTGGGCCCCCTCCTCCTGCGCCCTCTCGAACTCCCGGATCTCCTGCCGCGTCTTCTCCGCCCGCTCCTCCCGCTCCCGGAGCTCCTGCCGCGTCTTCTCAACTGCGGCCTCCTGAGCCTTCAGCTTCTCGAGCTGCTCCTGGCAAGTGGCACGACGGGCCTTGCGCTCCTTGGCCAGCTGCAAGCCAGATGGACACCCAGGGAGAGAACAGGGAGAGAAGGCACACACACAGATCTTTCACTTGCGCATGCATCCCCGCTCTCATCGCCATCTGTACCGGGTGTGGGCGTCCGAAGCATCCCTTGGCCCCCTCCTCCCACTTGTGCACCCTCTCGAGCAGGTCGCGGGCATCCTTCAACGCTATAAACGCGCTGCCGTCACCGCCCTTATCGGGGTGTTTGTAGTCGCCGGACTGCACACACAGCCAGCACATTCAGCCAGCCACCAGCTCTCACGCCCGCCCCCAGTGCACGTGTGGACGTACCAGCGCCTTTTTCTTGTAAGCCTTCTTGGCCTCCTCCCACTCCGTGAACCACTTGACGCCCAGCGTCTCGCTGGCGGCCTGGGCGCCACTGAGGTCTCCTGGGCCTTCAGCTCCTCCCGCATCTTCTGGGCCCGCTCCTCCTGCGCCCTCTCGAACTTCCGGAGCTCCTCCCGCGTCTCCGCAATCGCGGCCTCTTGGGCCGTCA